CAAATTCATCTTTGTCTGCTGAAATTGATGATGTTAAAAATCTTTTGATCAAAGAACAAACTGTGCTTCACACTTGGGCAAAATCTCATAAAAATGCTAATTATATTATTTCAGCTCAAATTCCGCATTCTTGTGAGAAAATTCTTGGGGGTAATTTTGCAGAAGCTGAAAAAGTTTTTAAAACACAAGAAAAGGGATCTGAGGTCTATTCCATGAATGAGATGAAAAACAATTTCAAAAATAAGTTTGTCAGTAACTCTTTTATTAATCAAAGTTTAATTGATGAATATTGCATTACTAATTCTGATGGTATCACTGAGTGTAATGTTGAAATTACCGGAATTGATCCTACCTCTTATCCTGCACATCTTGTTAGACCAATCCCTCTAACTGAGAATATTATTGCTTTTCCTATCTCAAATGGAGTGTTTCATGCTATTCATGAACAACTCAAGCACTTCCCTGATTGCAATCCATCTGTGAATGAGTCAAAATCAGATACTGATAGTTTATCACCTAACACTGATCAAACTCCTCCTGATACTGTATTCAGTCATGACTCAATGATAAGCAAAAGGACTCAAAGCTCTCTTGGTGAATCTTACATGTCAAAATGTGTTAAATCAAAAAATTTGCTCACCAAGAAGAACTTTGGTACTAGAGTTTGTTACAGATGTGGTAATTCCTCTCACAAGATCAGTGAATGTTCTTTTGATAAATCATCCTCAAGAGCTGAAAATATTAAAGTTAGAAATGAAAAATGGACTCTTAAGTCAAACTCTTTAAACTGTCTTCCTAAGGAGTGTTATAACCTATTATCAAATAACTTTGTGAATGACCCATCTTTGAATGGGTCAGTGTGTTCTAACTAGTTTCTCAGTACTGCAGGGTCAGGAGCATCTTTGGTATTTAGATAGTGGTTGCTCAAGGCATATGACGGGATCAAAGTCTCTCCTGGAAGATTATGTTAAGAAAACTGGTCCTGCAGTTACTTATGGAGACAATGGAAAGGGGTTCACTAAGGGATATGGAAACATCAAATGCAATAACGTGGTTTTTCAAAACGTTTCATATGTAAAGGGTCTCAAACACAACCTCATTTCTATCAGTCAGTTGTGTGATGCTGACTATGAAGTTCACTTTACAAAGAAGGAAGGAAGAGTTGTAAACACTGACAAGAACATCGTACTCTCAGCAAGTAGAAAAGATGATATATATGTTCTTGACATGTTCTCAAGTGACAAGGCACTGATGCAATGTTTCTTTACAAAGTCTCAGACGAATCTTAGCTGGATTTGGCACAAAAGGTTTTCTCATCTGAACTTCAAGAATCTATCCAAGATATCCAATCAAGACCTAGTTAGAGGGCTCCCAAAATTCAGCGTTGTGAAAGACAAGATGTGCTCAGCTTGTGAACAAGGAAAACAAACCAAGTCCTCTTTCAAACCCAAGTCATGTTCCAGTATATCAGTCCCTCTTTATCTACTCCACATGGACCTGTTTGGACCTATTCCTGTTCGTTCACTAGGTGGAAATAAGTATACTCTAGTGGTCGTTGATGAGTTCACTCGATTTACTTGGGTAGCTTTCTTGAAGAAGAAAAGTCATGCTGCACAGGAAATTATCTCACTGATTCGTAAAAATGAGACACTGACAGGTCTCAAAGTTAAGCAACTAAGAAGTGATCATGGTACTGAGTTCCGAAACTCAACTCTTGAAGAATTTTGTGACAATAAAGGAATTGGACAAAACTTCTCAGCTCCTCGTACTCCTCAGCAAAATGGTGTTGCTGAACGAAGGAATAGAACACTGATTGAGGCAGGAAGAACCTTGATGATCCATGCTGGTCTTCCTATGTCTTTTTGGGCTGAAGCTGTCAATACAGCGTGTTTTACTCAGAATCGATCTCTAATTCACAGGATTCACAAGAAGACTCCATATGAAATGCTGAAAGATCGAAAACCAGATGTATCCTTTTTTCATGTGTTCGGATGCATTTGTTATATTCTAAATCAGCGTGACCCAAGATCCAAGTTTGAACCTAAGGCTGATAAAGGTATTTTTGTTGGGTACTCTTCTATTTCAAAGGCTTTTCGTGTTTTTCATGTGAATAGGCAATGTGTTGAAGAATCCATTCATGTGAAGTTTGATGAGGAATCATACACTGATGAAAAAGTCACTCATTCTCCTTCTATCTTTCAAGAGCTTCTCTCTTGTCCATTCGATGAAGCACCTTCTGCAGAAGATAAGACTGATTCCTCTGATCATCATTCCAGTTCCATGTTCCTTGAATCAAGATATTGCAGCCACATCAGCAGATAATTCATTAAGTGCTGATGAATCCCTTGAAGCTGAAGATTCTCCTGAAACTGACAATGTGTCAGTGTCTATCTCTCCTGAATCAGCATCAGTCATTGAACATCGAGATCATCCTGTTGATCGAATTATAGGGAATATTCATGATGGTGTCCGAACCAGATCTAGTGCACTTAATAATTTTTGCATGTATGTTAACTTTGTTTCAATGATCTTACCTGATAAAGTACACACAGCTCTTCAAGATGCTGATTGGATCAAAGCCACGCAAGAAGAACTGAATGAGTTTGAAAGGCACAAAGTTTGGACTCTTGTCCCAAGACCATCCGGGAAAACTATCACTGGAACTCGTTGGGTCTATCGTAACAAGGTTGATAAAGATGGAATCATCACCCACAACAAGGCAAGGCTTGTAGCTCAAGGGTTTACTCAAATTGAATCCATCGACTACGGGGAAACTTTTGCTCCGGTTGCTCGCATTGAAGCTATCAGACTGTTTCTCGCATACGCATCCTACATGAACTTCATCGTCTATCAGATGGATGTGAAAACAGCATTCCTACATGGTGTGTTAGAAGAAGAAGTATTCCTAAATCAGCCCCCAGGCTTTGTGGACAAAGATCATCCTGATTACGTGTACCGGTTAGACAAAGTTGTTTATGGACTGAAACAAGCTCCCAGGGCTTGGTATGAGACGCTGACATCGTATCTGCTTGAAAATGGATACAGACGAGGAGCAATCGACAATACTCTCTTCATCAAAAACAAAGAATCAGACATGGTTCTTGTTCAAATTTATGTCGATGACATTATTTTTGGCTCTCCAAATGAGACACTAAGCAAGGAATTTGCAGAGATCATGTCTCAAAGGTTCGAAATGAGCATGATGGGGAAGATGACCTTTTTCTTAGGTCTTGAAGTTTAGCAACAAAAGACATGTATTTCCATTTGTCAAAGTAAATATATATCTGACCTGCTTGTTAAGTATTCTCTCAGTGACTGCAAACCAGCCTATACTCCAGTGTCTAAAACTGATAAGATACATACTGATCCAACTGGAACTGATGTAAATCACTCTCTGTATCGAGGAATGATTGGATCCCTCTTATATCTCACAGCAAGTTGTCCTGATATTATGTTTGGAACCATTCTCTATGCTTGATTCCAAGCTAATCCAAAAGAATCTCACCTCATGGCTATCAAACGTATCTTTCGATACTTGAAGGGAACTCAAAACCTTGCTCTGTGGTATCCTCGTGACTCAGCATTTGAACTTTATGGATACACTGACTCAGATTATGCTGGATGCAATTTAGACAAAAAAAAAAAAAAGTACATCTGGTGGATGTCACGTCCTTGGCAATCGTCTCATCAGCTGGTCCAGCAAGAAACAAACATCAGTAGCCATCTCAACTGCAGAAGCTGAGTATGTTGCCGCTGGGAGATGTTGTGCTCAGCTCTTATGGATTCAAAATCAGCTTCTCGACTATGGGTTCAAGTTCTCAAAGACTCCCATATATTGTGACAACACCAGTGCCCTTCAAATCACACAAAATCCTGTTCAGCACTCAAAGACAAAGCATATTGAAATCAGACATCACTTCATCAGAGATAATGTTGAAAAAGGAAAAGTTGTTCTTGAACATGTCAAGACTTCGGAGCAACTTGCTGATATCTTCACAAAGGCACTGGATTCTCAATCAACTGCTTACATTATCGGAGAACTGGGAATGATTTCCTTGTAATTAATTTTGACGTTTAATTGTGCTAATGTTTGAGATTGTCTTATAAGCTGATGTTCATTGTGCTGATGATGACATACTGATGATATTTGCTACTGAGCACTTTGGTTTGATTTCTTATCTTGATCTCTTCTTCAAATCTTCTAAACAAAAATTGAATGATTCACTGTACTAAACCATACACTAATAACGACTTGAAACTCTTTGCCGATGGTTAGATCAAAACACCAAGATCTATCACACGCAACTACCCCTTCTCACCAATCTTACACTGATTCTGTGATTCAGTGTGCCAAAACACACGCTGATGAGAGTCTAAAAATCTTTGCCGATTGTTAGATCAAAACACCAAGATCTATCACACGCAACTACCCCTTCTCACCAATCTTACACTGATTCTGTGATTCAGTGTGCCAAAACACACACGGATGAGAGTCTAAAAATCTTTGCCGATGGTTAGACCAAAACACCAAGGTTTATCACACGCAACAATCCATTCTCTACCCTCCTCTTATTCAGTGTTTAATGATTCAGTAAGATAAACCACTCACTGATGAAGTCACAACACTCTATGCCGATGGTTAGATAATGTAACTAGTATCTATCACACGCACTAATCTCATTGCTAGCCCCGATTAAGCAAGTTGTACCTTGAATTGATGGAGAAATATTCTCAGCACGTAACTTTTGTGACACTGAGCTCAGCACTTCCGCAAACTCTGATTGACGTTTCACCTTCAGTCAACGGCTCTTTTATCCAACGACTATTTTCTACTCTGACAGATTGTTACGATGCGCCGTTATTTTTAATGAAGATAATTATTACCTTTAAAAAAAAAAAAAACCCCTTTTCATTCCATATTTAAACCTCTTTCTCCCTTGGTTTAATTTTTCCTTCCAAATCCTTTCTCAAAAAACCCTAGAATTCTCAAATACTCTCCAATGGCGGCATCTCTATTCACATACTCCTCAACCTCTCGAAGAGTCGTTCCTGCCCCAAACTCTCCTCCACTTCCAATTCACATCAAGGAAACCAATGTCGTATTCAACCCTGACATTCCAGAGGTTCATCGAGGTCTTGGACTCGATGATTTCGTCAATTTCTTGGCTTCTTGCCGCCTCCGATATGCAACCAGTGATGTCCCGTCCGAGTTCTTCCCTGAACAAGTATGTGAGTTTTACTATACTGCAATAGTTAATGAAGAAAACAATGCCATCACCGGAACCATTGGTCATGGCAGACACTCTGTCTTCATCACCGCAGAACTTCTCAGTGCTGCTTTAAGGTTACCACTTTTCAAACCCTTTTCTGAACCTCCAACTATTGAAAGATGTAAACGAATGTTTGATCAACTGGGCTATGATCATTCAAAGGCTGGTACTCGATCAACTCTTATTTTGCGTCAGTGCATGACCCCAGGCTGGAAGTTTTTCACTGGTGCTTTATGCAAGTGTGTGGGCCACAAGTCTCGCAGTGGTGATCAATTGAGAATTTATGAGCAACAAGTCGTCTACTCCCTTCTTCTCAACAAAAGATTAGATTATGGGGCACTATTCTTTGATCAGCTTGTTCAGCTTCTACGTGCAAATGTACGTGCTGATCATGTTCCCTTTCCACGCTGGATTGCCCTGGTGTTCGACAAATTCTTCGCTGCTGACTACTTTTCTCACTCTGGGAATCCAATCCAATGCCCTCGAATGTCCGTTCGTATGTATCAGGATGATCCTTTGGATACTGACATTGGAATCTCTGATAGGATGAGAGAATGGATCGCCCATCCATACACTATGCCTTCTCTCACTGCTGACACTGATGAAGTAGGTGCTGATGGTGATCATTTGGATCATGCTGATCAAGAGGTGGAACATCATGATAGCGGCCATTTCTCCCCTCAACTTTCTCATCACCTCATCTCGGCCACTGGCAAAGCCTCCTCAGCACCACAGGATTCCATGCCTCTGGGGGGGCAACCATCACAGGGGGAGCATCAGTCTCAGGGGGAGCATCCATCACCAGCAGCTCACCACTTCTCTCCAAGGATGCAACCTAGCTCTCCAGTTGCTCCAGATACCTCAACGGTTCAAATTCCTGCTTCAGCATTTTCTGAACTGATGTCACTGACTCAGGACATGAGTCAGCGTCTGCTTTGTATTGAGGCTGATGTTCAACAAATCAAGGAGGTTCTCTTACTTACTCCTCCCTCTAGTCCCAAATCTAATGATGTTCAAAAAGGGGGAGATAATGATGATGATGCTGATGCTGATGATCATGCTGATGGTGAACCAAATGCTCATGCTGATGGTGAACCAAATGAGAAAGACACAGAACCTGGTGACAACACTATCTTTCAGCATGAATCACCCAACCCCATTCCTGAATCTGATTCTGCGGGGCATAATAGTCCAGCAGCTACTGAAAAATTGTTTGACAATAGTGAGCATGATGACGAACATGAATCTGATTCTGCGGGGCATAATAGTCCAGCAGCTACTGAAAAATTGTTTGAAGACAGTGAGCATGATGAACCTGATGATGAATGTCAAATTCTTGACATGAACTTCATTGATCCTCTCATTCCTGTTCAGCAAGAAAGCTTAGATGATCTTGAAGAATCTCATCTGATATTAGCCGATCCTATTGCTGATTCCATCATTCCGGTCCAAGGAGACGATTCGGACATTGCAAGTGAAGAATCTCATCCGCTGTCTCGAAAGTGGAAAGTAGAAGATACTGACTTGGATAATTCTCAAACTGATACTTCTTCAACTGTGAAGAAACCAAAGTCCATTGTTAGTATTTCAAATCTTGCCACTGAATGGAACATGTCCCCTGATCAAGTCAAGCAAATTCTTGATGAAGCCAATCGAGCTCAGCTTCTAAAGAACATTGCTCAAGATGATGAATCTCTTATTCAGCACGAACTTCAGGCCAAGGGATCTTTTGAAGCTCAGATGCAAAAGTTCCTGGAATTTCAGTCCAAGGCTCAGTCTTCTCAACCTCCTCCTAGCTCTAGCAAACCCAAGACTGACAGTGTTCTTGACCGGATTGATCGAAAGAGATTTGAAGATGTTTTTAATCGGCAAATGTGTGGAGATAAGATCATCAAAGTCAAAGCTTCTAAACCTCAAAACGAGAAAATCCTTACGTTGTTGATCACTCGTCAAGGTCCTCAGCACTCATATACTGAAGTTGTTAAGAGGGATGAGCTGATTAGATATGGGTATTCGGAATGGATGGAACTGCTCGATCTTGCATCCAAGCAAACCTCAGCTCACTCTTCAGAACTGACTTGTGCTCTTCATCTGCTGATCAAGAAAGTTCAGCGTTTGGATCTTGTTCCTAAAGAACGACCTCATCATCAAGGCCAAAGGTCGTTAGTTCCTAGATCTCGAAGAACCAAGTTTCATGTTGATGGTGAAGATGTATTGGTTCTAGACTTTGGTTCTGGTGCAATTAACAATTCACTTCCTCTAGGTGTTGATCCGGTTCAGCATCAATTCATCTCAGCTCCTGAACACGGGATGTTCTATCTAGACAAAAACAGGAGGATGTGCTTTCAACGAACTACTGAGATCCCAAAGGCTCCAATCACTCACCTTGTTGGCTTAAGGCAAATGTGCATGAATCATCAAGACCTATCTGGATAATTTCACATTCTCATTGCCATGGAGCTGCTGAACAGAAGACAGGAATTGCTGGACAGTCCTTACTGGCCAGTTAAAATTGAAGCTGAAGCTGAGTATGAAGAATTTCTTTCCAGAGGTGTCTTTATTTAGTTTGTTTTGAACATCATCATATTGGGGGAGATTGTAAGGTCAAACCTTGAAATATGATTATGTTTAAAACAGACTCAGCGTCAGCACATGTCTCAGCATCAGCATCAGCTTGTAACTGATCAGTTTATATTAGTTTAGTTTATTCAGTGCATTGTAACAAATCATGTATTTATTCTGTTTCCTTAGTTATCTTGATTTATTAGTTAGCATATCCCTGAATTGTAGGGATTGTCTAGAATAACAGTATATATTATCTTGCACAGGTTTGTGAATAAGCACGCTTTTCACAAACCCTAATCGTCGCTTTGTGCACACGATAATCTCTTTGTGAGATTATCTTTCTTAGTGAAAGTTTTTCTTCGTGAATTTCTCTTGTTCTTATTTATTGTCTTTGTTTGATATATCGATTGATCTAAAGGCCTCTTCATATATACAAAAAATAGTTTTTTTTAAGGATCTATTTTTATCTAAAAATTATTTTAAATATATAAAAATTCATAATTTTTTATTCTCTATAAATAGACAACCATATTGATATAGTTTTAAGATAAACTAAATTTTATTTTTTTTTATAGTTTGAGTTCTTATTATTCATAAGTGGATAAAAATGCATTAGATTTTTGTTACGGTAAATTTATTATTCACTTATGACTAAAAAGTATGCTTAGTTTTTTTTTACAGTTTAAGTATCATTTATATATGAATACAACATGTAATAAAGTTTACTTACCTAAAATATATTCTTTTACTTCACAATTCATCGCATGTTATATTCATATATAAATAAAACGTGTCTTAACTATCGTCATATGTTATATGATGGGTTTTGAGCACAACAACATTACTATGTGTTCATGCAACCCTAATTGCTTTGGATATAAGTTTTTCTCTAGATACACATGCAAATAGAAGTTCCAAAGCAATAACCCTAATACTAGCATACAACTTTTGAGATCTATATGAAAAATAGGGTTAGAATGTTACCGTGCTTGCTATCTCGTAATCACAAGTCTTCCACGGATGATCTTCACTCTTGAAATCTTTAGTGTCTCACGTGTTGCACCTCTAATGGAATCACAAACACCAAAAGCAAAGGATGAATGAGAGAGAGGTAAAAAATCGGCTAGGGTTTCTTCAAAGGAAGCAGTGACCGATTTCAGGAGGTCTAGGGGCCTTTATATAGTTGTGGTTGCTAGGGTTTTCAGGGGGAACCCTAATTCCTTGCTTAGGCTCCAAGCAGCCCATGGACATCCCTTCTCGAAGGTCTTGGACGATTTTTATAGGGCCTCCTTAGTGAGATTCGTCCACCCCATTCCAAGGGAGTTCAACAACCAAATTTGCAACGATCAATGATTCGCAAAACTAGTCTTCGTACTTTTAATCAGTTCCTTTAATCCTAAAATTAATATCAAAATAATTTATGATTAATTACTAACCAAATAATATGATTTCTCATTAATATATTATTCTTATAATATATTAATAAATCATCAAATAACCTCTCTCTTCCAAAAGTCATCCTGTGAAGTTGCTAAGGTGAAGGCAACCCAAAAGGACCATGCTACTATCAGATCAAGTCCATACCAATTATTGTTATTTATTGAGATTAGACACCTAATCCAACACTCTCCCACTTAGATAAGTCTAATAACTATAATTGCAAGTATGACTTCAGAATCTGATTAACAATCGTAGCTTTCAAAAGTCATTGTCGAACTCTGGCCTAGTCAATGATGCGTCTTTTAGATAAGGGATCATATAATCCTCCGTTCTACTAGATATCGTGTTGACAACGACATGGAACATAATCATTCTCAATGTCCAACAGTTTGTTTCCCGATATTTGATTTGTTTGACAACGAAATTAATTGAACACATAAATTCAATCCTGACCAGGCCCGACTCATAAGTCAACACAAAATCATTGAGGGGCCCAGGATATCGCTTTTCCCGTTAGGGCAAAAGGAACAGATAAATTTTGACTTATATGCTTGTAATATTTACTGATCAAATCATACACAACAATACGTTTTATAACATCAAGTTAATGATGCATTTACGTAATATCAATGCACAACCAACTCGTAAACAACAACTCATATATCTCGCTTTGAAGATTATACGATATTATCGTCTCACAATTACTCGTGATAAATTCCATAAAGTAATTCAAATGAGTGCGGGTTTAATCCAATACTCAAATCCAATTTTAGGAGTACTCATGAACTTGCAGCAAACATTTGCTATGTCTAAGAACTTAGACAATCTACAAGCCAATTCATGACAGTCTTGTATCATCACTTACTTCCAAAGTATGATTGACTGTGGATAATTTGAATAATCCAATTATTATGGAAGTAAAATATGAAAAAGTGAAACAATAATAAACAATTTACACAAGATAGTAAACATTACTCATAAATAAATATCCATTACTTAATCATCAAATGTCAATTACATTTATCTATTACAAGTTTCTTAAATATCTATCTAATCACTAAAACTAATATCGTCCTTCAGAACACTGCTCCTCGCATGTTGAACATGCTTGATCCTACTTAGACCCTTTGTGAGGGGATCTGCAAGATTATCTTCTGACGATACCCTCTTGACAATGAGGAGTCCTAATTTACCCGATGTCTGATGAAGTGGTATTTTTTATTGATATGTCTGGATCTGCCATGATCCTTTGGTTCCTTGGTTAAGGAAACTTTTCCTTCATTATTGTATAAAATCTCTATGGGTTCCTTTATGGTTGGTATAACTCCAAGGTCTCCAATGAAGTTCTTCAACCAGATAGCCTCCTTCGATGCTTCGCTCGCAACTATGTATTCTGACTCACACATTGAATCAGCCACGGTTTCCTGCTTGGAACTTTTCCAACTCACTACTCCTTCATTTAGGGTAAACACCTATCCCGACTGGTAGTAGAAGTTATCTCTATCGATCTAAAACTGGCGTCACTATACCCTGTCACTCTCAAGTCATCATTGCCACCAAGGATAAGGACCTAATCCGTAGTCCTTCGTAGATACTTAAGAATGTTCTTAACAGCTATCTGGTGAGCTCTACCTGGGTTCCCTTTATATCGGCTTACCATGATCAACGCAAAAGCCACATCAGGGCGAGTACATGTCATAACGTACATGGTCGAGCCAACAGTGGAAGCATATGGCACTCGACTCATTTCCGCTATCCCGACATCGGTACTCAGACTCTGAGTCTTACTTAGTTTGGTGTTGCTTTGGATAGGTAACTCCCCTTTCTTAGAATTCTCCATGCTAAAACGCTTTAGCACCTTGTCCAAGTATGTACTCTGACTAAGTCCAATTAGCCTTTTACTCCTATTTCTCAAGATCCTTATCTGCAGAATATAAGCAGCTTCCCCTAGATCCTCCATAGCGAAACACTTCCTAAGCTAGGACTTAACCTCCTGCAAGGTTGGAACGTCGTTTCCTATGAGCAGTATATCATCGACATACAATACTAGAAATCTAACTATACTCCCACTAGGTTTGACATATACACAAGACTCATCCTCACTCCTAGAGAAACCAAACTCTTTGACTTTCTCATCTAAGAAAAGATTCCATCCGCGAGATGCTTGCTTCAACCCATAAATGGATTTCTCAAGCTTTCAAATTCTATTGGGGTGCTTAGCATCCACAAAACCTTCTGGCTGACACATGTAAACATCTTCAGCCGTCTTCCCATTAAGGAAAGCAGTTTTGACATCCATCTTCCAAATTTCATAATCATGAAACGTAGCGATGGATAACATAACGCTAATAGACTTTATATTTGCCACTGGTGAGAAGGTATCATCATAGTCAACCCCCGGGGTTTGAGTAAAGCCCTTCGCAACCAGTCATTCCTTGAACATGTGCACCTTTCCATCCATTTTGATCTTCTTCTTAAAGATCCATTTGCACCCAACCGTCTTTCGACCTGGCACATTGTCAACCATGTTCCAAACTTGATTGTCATACATGGACTGTATCTCGCTATCCATTGCCTC